CTTCGCTTCTGGGTCTTAGGTCTTCGTTTTCTACCCACCCCAAAAGAAATCATTACAGGCTCTCTCTCTCCCTTCCTTTTTCCTGCCACCTCCCCCTTTTTCCAACACCACGCGCTTATATTTTTACATGCCTTACAGTCTACTATCTGAGAGCCTGGAACAGGCTAAGATTTAATTGACGACTGCATTGCCATGACGGCAAAGAAACCTGCTAAAAAGTGTGCTGCACGTTAAGAGTCTTTTTTTCGTTTATTTTCTCGTTTCTGTCGTTGCTATGGTTGCACTGAGCTCACTAGTGGCGTTAACGTGCCAAACAATTCCTGATATGCGACGATTTCGCCTGCATGGAAGCGCGACGAAATCAGAGGCTCAAATAGTACTCTCTGTATATAATAATTTAAAATAATTCGTTCGCTTAATTTGTAGCTTTCAAGGACTTAATTATACAGCAGTTTTCTAGTCTTCGTAGATTTTCTTGTAAGGTTTTATCTTTCTTGCGTCCGAGACGAATAGGCAAATTTAAGATGGTGGACCGCCCTTGAAATACACCTACAGAAACCAAACGTTATCAGTAACTAGAAGAAACTTACCTGAAACCGAAAAGACGTGAAATTCGAAGAAACAGAACTAAGGGTTCTTTTGTACTGTTTAAGACCACTTCGCGGATCACAACTGCCTATTTGTACAATGTCAACTTGTAGCTACAAAGCTCGACAGTTCAGAGCTGGGCGGTAGCCCAGGAAGGTACTTCATGTATGGGGGGTATGGGGGGACATAAGACCGCTGACAGACCTACCGCAGTCGTTCAAGTCTTGGAAGGTTTGGTGAAAAGTATTTAACGTCTATATAACGAAGAAGGAGCACCTTTTTCAACGCCCAAAGTCTTCTGCTGACCAAAAAAAGAAGACTCAAGTCTTAAATGTGGATCTTGGAGGACCAACGGAATGGTAAGTTTTAAGAATTGAGTATTTCTTTAGGGGTACAGAGTAAAAAGAAAATACTTAAGAACATTGTATGGAATTCTTTTGGGGTGAAGCCTTAATTTTCACGAAATAGACCACAGGCCACCCAAACTCACGTTACGAGGGAAGGGTGTAAAGTAATTTACATACCATAGATGACGTGCTGGTGTCACGTTTTACAGGCGACCGTTGAAAATAGTACAGACTTTGTATGAGAAATATATTACTGAGATTTGCGAACACTAAATAACGCTAAACCTTACTAAACCTTACCTTGTTAAATGAAATGAATAAAAAAGGCTTACCTGCAATGTATTCCACTGTGTTTTGATTACGCAATAAAGCCAAAAAAGCCAGTAATATGACAAACAGACATCATAACACAGTGGAGTACATTGCAGGTAAGTCTTTTTTATTCATTTCATTTAACAAAAAGTAAGGTTTAGCGTTATTTAGCGTTCGCAAATCTCAGTAATATATTTCTTATACAAAGTCTCTTATGTTTTCAACGGTTGCCTGTAATGTGACACCGGCACATCATCTATGGTATGTAAATTACTTTACACCCTTCCCTCATAACGTGAGTTTGGACCGCCTGTGGGTAGACCAATATTCTTCAGTGAAGACAAAAAAAACAAATCTTGTTGTGGTGGTGCATTTTGATGAAAGAAACATTTTACACGGCAGGTCTGAAATACAGGTCACATTTCCACAGGTCAGGGTACAGGTCACCACGATTGAGATAAATGAACAGCATTAAAACTGTCTCCTAGCCCTAATCTCTTAACAAAATGCTCTATTAGATCGAGGGGAATCTGTGTGGTTTGGTAATTTATCGATGGAGCAGTGACCTACACTCTTGACCTGTGGAATGTGATCTGTACTTTAGACCCGGCAATTGCGTACCGTTCAAACATGAGGTTTGTAACCTTTTAGCTGGCCCAGGGGCAAGGGGATGGTCACTGGCTGAGGATTGACTGAGAAATAGAGCTGCGTGCAATAAAAAATCCAATGAAATTAGAGGTTCTAGAGAGCTCCGTACTATCCAGTGGTATTTAAGCCAAGTATTGTAACACCGCAGATTAGCAGTATTCACATGGCTCTTATTCGAACTAGCTGTCATTTAATTTTTGGCTCAATGTGTTTTCATTACCAAAGAAAAAGGTCAGTGGAAAGGCTACACCGCCTTGTAAAAAAAAACAAAACAGTAGTTTCTCTAGCAACCTTTGTGGCTTGCCAGGTGTTAGGAAAGGCTGGTCAACTGTTTATTTTCAAAGTAGGATGGCTCACCCCATGGGTAGCTGAAAATTAAACAATCACCACTCGTGGGCTTTGTTCATTTGCAAATTTTTTACATTGTTACTTTGAAAGGTGTCTCTTATGGGCCACAGAAATGACACTGATAAAGAAATTTTCTAACCGGCTAAAAGACTTTAGGCATTGTTAGCAATATTAATAATAATTATTATTATTGTAAGTAAACAGCAGTATGCATGTTGTTCAATTTCAACAGTCATTTATTAATATTATTTAACTTCTGTATAATAACAACTGGACAGCTGGCAGCTGGTAGCCTGCAGACACAGACATATTTCTGGTCGTCGCTTTTCTGTGGAGAGTGGTGTAGAGATTGCCAAGACCGGAAATTCGTCTGTGTCCTCAGGCTAGTAGCTGGTAGCTGGAGGGGCTCCCATATAAGATGACAGGGTTGACCTTTATTTTGGTACATTTCAAGGTGTATGTATTAACCAGGAAATAATGAGAACAACAACTTCCCTGATTTTTCTCCGGTCACTCTTATATGGGTATTCCCCCTACAATGCTGAAACAAGTAATGAATTTAAGTTTAACCAAAGGGAGTGTGAATTATTCATGTGAGCTAAAGTGGTCTTTCAACATGATGCAGGTCAGAAATATTTAATTGTGGAAAATAGGGGGGTGAGCATAGCTAATAATCAACACTCTCTTGGCAAAATATAAGCAGCCAGCTCAGTAGAACCAGAAACTATACGCTTAAACGTTAAAATCTGCCGTCAAATATTGAAATTCTTCACTTTATTAAACGGTCAGAAAAAGTACAGTAAAAACCAGTGTCTAAGAACCTGCCTTTTCGAACATTACCCTGGACAAGTTCTTTTATAAATGTCAATCAGCAATAATTTAGGCTATTTAGGTTCTTAAATAAGTTCTTATTTTCTGACGAAAAAACTGCATTTGAGCTATAAGGGCTTTTAGTGGTATTTATCTTATAATATTCCTAGACATAAAATCTGCACCAATACATTGCAGTTGGAGTGATTATAAAGGCACCTTTGTCTTCGATTCAAAGAGGATCCTGAATGTTAAGTTATCTTATTTGCCCAATTTTACAGTATTTTTTGTATAGATCATTAGAAAACGAGAACGTGTTTCAAATTTTAGGCTATAAAGGTTGTTGTATAGAGGTCCGTTGCCTAACTTGCAATTTTAGCCCAACAGGTTCTTAAAAACCAGGTTCTTAGTCACAGGTTGTTCCTGTAATAATATTTTTGATCAGAAACAACAATGTTAGAATACTGATTGGTGTGTGAGTCAACAAGAAATAACATCCAATAAAATTAAAATGTGTTAATATCAATTTCTCACCACAATAGAACCCTCAGTCTCAAGGAAAAGCTAATAAATTAGTATATACTGTGTCAATGCATTATTAAGAGACTTGTGTTGTATAATAGCAATACAAAATAAAATCAAATGTGAAGTATTTGAAAAAGAGAGTCTGGGAACATGGTACAGACTCCAGCTATTGTTTCTCTAACTTAATTTCTGCATGCATAATGTCTGCGTGTAATTCCTAAAAAAGCTCACCTATACATGCACACCTCAACAACAAAACAAACATTACCTTTAAGAGAGAAACAAACAACAGAAATATTTCATCAAAAATCAAATTAATCATTAACATATTGCTAAAGAAAGGATTAATATTATGATAAAACTTAGCAAGACAATCTTAAGCTTTACATTAACTACCCTGATCCATGGAGAAACTCCACGTCAATAATTCAACATTAATAATGCAAGCCATCTAACGAATTAGTAACACTTGTAAAAAATATGAACATTTAAAAAAATATCCTGGTTGTTCAACAATCCAAAGTAGTTATAAATACAAATTTACAAAAAAAAACTTTAGCTTGTCTCATTGGTGTCTGAATCAACTTGTCATCCTGACTAACCAACTCAAAGGGGGTGAATAGTGGAGTGAAATATAAGACAGTAAGTCCTTGCCTCTATTAGTAAATAATAACAATATGTATATGTTAAAGGCCAAACTTAGAATTATTCAGGTTCTTGATACGCCACATTAAATAGAAACAGTAAAATGTTTTCTAAAATATACAGATGACTGTCATTCTGACTATATAACTTTTTTAACTAATCCAATCGTTAAACTAATCTAACATCAAAAATTGACTCTCAAAATGCAGTGGTTGCTGTTGATACAAATACTGCTATTGACTATTTTGAAAGACTATCGTTAGGTTTTTTATTAAGAAAGTGTACAAAATTTGGTTCTTAAAACTGATATTAAACAATACAATTAATGCAGTAATTTTCTTGTATTAGTTTGTTTCTATGGAAGTATTTTAGAGTTTTTAGTCAGTATCTCAATCATAAACCTTTTCACAGGTGTATATAACCACATGAAAAGTTTTTACTTCTCAGCTTGAAAGTGACGTTCGAACGGTCAAAACGTAGTTGTTCTTTTTTAACGTTAATTTTTGTAGAGAAATCCATTTCAACAAATGTGTAATGTTACAAATTACAGAAACGTAAAAATAGAAACAGGATGCAATGTTTAGTATAGTGTTAATCTATTGTTCTCCTTTCTCTAATTAATGTTTATAGCAACATGTTTTTTTTTAACTTCATCAGCTAGTTGTTTATTGAAGGTGATCAGTTGCCTCTAAGCTTATTTTTTTTGGTAACTCACCCCAATTCTGTATAGTTAGTGCACCTAGAAAAAGATCAGTTTTGTTGGTCATGAAATTCCCTCTAAATTTGCTCACTCTTGCCAACCGGAACGTCAATGTCATTTAGAGATTTCCCAATGGCTTGATTGATGTTTTCCTCATCCATTAGTGCCAATTTAAGCCCAGTACATTGTTTTCTCAGGCAGTCCACCAGTGCCAATATTTTGCTGACTTTAGCTAGCTCCAGGGTTGACTCGTGGAGTCTATAATATTCCCTGTGTACTCTGATATCATGTCCCATGTGTCTTGCCAGCCAATCTAACTCTTTTTCTTGGAGGTCTAACACTTGGGAAACCGTTGCAACATACTTTCTAAGGTGGGTACTTGTTATCAAATCAGGTTGTTTTAATTTAAGCCCAGTACATTGTTTTCTCAGGCAGTCCCAGTGGCGAATGTGATTCAATGAGTCTTCAGACGGGCGGACAAAGAAAAATTTGTTGTTTGTATTGATGTTGGCCTCTTGTCTTTTCTTGACTAAGATGTCCATTGCTCCTTTAATATCAGGCATTAACAGCACTGAGACCTTATGTCCCCTTTTGCTTTCTATGTCAACCATGTCCAGCACACATATATAGCATATTACATAATTGCACAATTTTAATAATGTCTCTCTTTAAAAAAGTAGCAAACGTGAAGGTGGCCTTTTGTTTTGAAGTATTTAGTTAATATACAGGCCATGCTTAACAAAAGTAACTTAAATGGTTGTATGTGGCCCTGACTGAGTTGAGAGCAGTGCATATTCAAACTAACAAGGCAGGTGATCTGTTTAATAATGAGAATATTTTCAAGGCTAATTTAATTTTGAAATTCACAGCTACCCTTGATGCCTGCAACTATTTGTGAGGGTGGTCTTTAAGTTATGCCAAAAAAATGTTTTGCTCAAGGAAAAAGTCTTACTATAACAGCAAACTTAAACAAATGATATATGTAAACTGGAGAAAACTTTTAGTCAGTGTGATAATTTTCCCTCAGCAAAATCAGTTTCAAATCAAAAAAAGCTAAGGTTTCTTATAGTAGTTCAAGGGTGAAAATAGTTGTTTTGTACTGGTACTTAAAGTGCTGTTCTTTTGTTATGTTTCTGGCCTAGCGTCTGGTGACAGATTTGGAAGTGTATCTTATATCACAGTGCATGTATTCCAAGATGTCTGCAATTTTTTTTTGTGTGTATTGATAGTGAAATGACTGAATGTGTTATTACATGTACTTTATACCTCTTACACAGTTCCTTCTCAATTGGCTCTAGACAATCTTCAATTCATTTTGTTGCTGTTTTCTTCCAGTCTGGCCTTTCTACAAATGAACTCAACAGCATCTTTGAAACTTCACCACCTGGTCGTTTATTGAATGTTATCACCCGGCAAAGGGTTGTTTCAGCTAACTCACTCCAATTCTGTATTGTTGGTGCAGCTTTTAAGGTCTCTGTGCAAGTGACAATCTTTTGAAGGAGATGCTTTCTCAACACCTCCAAGTCTTCTGTAACTGGAAGCAGATCTGGCTTGTTAAATTTCCTCTTGTAGAGTGTTCCTAGTGAGTGATATGAAATGCTATCGCTCCATTCAGATCCCATAAGCTTTTCGAGATTGTCCATGTCTTGTAGCGGCACCTGGTCTTTTTCTCTCAAAGCCTTACCTCTTTGGATGGTGATGCACTTATTTATGGCATGGCCTAACTTCAGTGCAAGGGATGGTATTCCGACTGACTTTGCTGATGATTCCTCAAAGTTGCAAAGGGTCTTAACTCAAGCCACAATGTGGTCAAAATACTCTGGCTTTAGAAAGTCTTTGAGGTGAATCCCCATGGAGTTGTTGGTTCTGAGCTGTATCAGCAGCCTTGAAAGCTGTCGAATCCCTTGTGACGACAGGTGAAGGTTGTCTTGCCCATGTCTCTCTGCAATGATGCTACCATACTTGCAGATGAGATCATCATTTCTTGCAGCAATAATTGTTACCTCATCTGATTTCATTTTTGCTAGGGCAACTTTTGGGCACTGAATTTGTGCTTGATGTCCTATCTTAGGATACAGCTTGGGACAGTTAAAACAGGAATTCTTTTTGTCATAAACCCAGTTTTTGTAGTTGTTTTTTCCCCTTATATGTGTAGTATTATTTTCTAATAATTAATGCTTTCTGTTTGCCTAATGGCTTTCGAGAAATAACTTGTGATGTTAAGCTCTTTTGCTAGGCATATTTTCTATTTGTTGTTTGATCACTGTTTGCCTTGGCGATCGTAGGTTTAACATTGTAGAGTTAACCTCCTATGCCAGGCATAATAATGAATGTAGTGTAGTTGAAAAGTGACATGGATTTGTTTGTTGTAAGCTGCCAAATCCCTTAAGACCATTAAGGCGGAGGTTTTTTTTTACATTTTTTGTGGTATAATAAGTGCAGGCATCAATGTTAGCCCTGAATTCAGCATTTGTGAGGGTTGTCTTTTAGTTGTGCCAAAAAAAAAATGTTTTGCTGAAGGAAAAAGTCTTACTAAAACATGCCGTACAGAACACTTAAACAAATAATATATGCAAACTGGAGAAAACGTTTAGTCGGTGTCATAATTTTTCCTCAGCAAAATTAGTTTTTACGTCAGAAAAAAGGTTACTTATATAATTACTTATATAAGTAGTTTAACGGTGAAAATAGTTTTTTTTGACTGGTACATAAAGTGCTGTTCTTTTGTTATGTTTCTGTATAGTTAGTGCGCCTGGAAAAAAATCTGTTTTGTTGGTCATGAACTTCCCTCTAAATTTGCTCTTTCTTGCCACCCGGAATGTCAATGTCATTTAAAGATTTCCCAATGGCTTGACTGATGTTTTCCTCATCCATTAGTGCCAATTTAAGCCCAGTACATTGTTTTCTCAGGCAGTCCATTAGTGCCAATATTTTGCCGACTTTAGCTAGCTCCAGGGTTGACTCGTGGAGTCTATAATATTCCCTGTGTACTCTGATATCATGTCCCATGTGTCTTGCCAGCCAATCTAACTCTTTTTCTTGGAGGTCTAACACTTGGGAAACCGTTGCAACATACTTTCTAAGGTGGGTACTTGTTATCAAATCAGGTTGTTTTAATTTAAGCCCAGTACATTGTTTTCTCAGGCAGTCCCAGTGGCGAATGTGATTCAATGAGTCTTCAGACGGGCGGGCAAAGAAAAATTTGTTGTTTGTATTGATGTTGGCCTCTTGTCTTTTCTTGACTAAGATGTCCATTGCTCCTTTAATATCAAGCATTAACAGCACTGAGACCTTATGTCCCCTTTTGCTTTCTATGTCAACCATGTCCAGCACACATATATAGCATATTACATAATTGCACAATTTTAATAATGTCTCTCTTTAAAAAAGTAGCAAACATGAAGGTGGCCTTTTGTTTTGAAGTATTTAGTTAATATACAGGCCATGCTTAACAAAAGTAACTTAAATGGTTGTATGTGGCTCTGACTGAGTTGAGAGCAGTGCATATTCAAACTAACAAGGCAGGTGATCTGTTTAATAATGAGAATATTTTCAAGGCTAATTTAACCTCTTTTGCCAGGCATATTTTCTACTTGTTGTTTGATCACTGTTTGCCTTGGCGATCGTAGGTTTAACATTGTAGAGTTAACCTCCTATGCCAGGCATAATAATGAATGTAGTGTAGTTGAAAAGTGACATGGATTTGTTTGTTGTAAGCTGCCAAATCCCTTGGGACTGTTAAGGTGGAGGTTTATTTTTACATTTTTTGTGGTATTAAATAAGTGCAGGCATCAATGCTAGCTGTGAATTCAGCATCTATTTGTGAGGGTTGTCTTTAAGTTGTGCAAAAAAAAAATGTTTTGCTCAAGGAAAAAGTCTTACTATAACAGAACACTTAAAGAAATAATATATGCAAACTGGAGAAAACGTTTAGTCGGTGTGATGATTTTTCCTCAGCGAAATTAGTTTTTAAATCAGAAAAAAGGTTACTTATATAATTACTTAATATATGAGTAGTTCAACGCTGAAAATATTTTTTGGGACTGGTAGATAAAGTGCCTTTCTTTTGTTATCTTTCCAATGTAGTCATCATACCTAGAGAATTTATAATTAGCTTTTGTCCTTAAACAGTGGCTTCAGAGTTTTCACCCCAATCCACTAATTCTCAAAATTTTGCATACTTTTGCCATCTCCAGGGTCATTTCATGGAGTTTACAAATTGTTCTCTGTGCACTAGCATAATATCATGTCTCATGTGTCTTACTAGCCAATTAATCTATAACTTGGGAAACTGTGGCAATAAACACACTGTACTTTCAAAATCAAAGCTGACAATCTTCAATTCCTTTTGTTGCTGTTTTCTTCCAGTCTGGCTTTTCTACAAATGAACTCAACAGCATCTTTGAAACTTCACCGCCTCGTTGTTTATTGAATGTTATCACCCGATAAAGGGTTGTTTCAGCTAACTCACTCCAATTCTGTATTGTTGGTGCAGCTTTTAAGGTCTCTGTACAAGTGACAATCTTTTGAAGGAGATGCTTTCTCAACACCTCCAAGTCTTCTGTAACTGGAAGCAGATCTGGCTTGTTAAATTTCCTCTTGTAGAGTGTTCCTAGTGAGTGATATGAAATGCTATCACTCCATTCAGATCCCATAAGCTTTTCGAGATTGTCCATGTCTTGTAGCGGCACCTGGTCTTTTTTCTCTCAAAGCCTTACCTCTTTGGATGGTGATGCACTTATTTATGGCATGGCCTAACTTCAGTGCAAGGGATGGTATTCCGACTGACTTTGCTGATGATTCCTCAAAGTTGCAAAGGGTCTTAACTCAAGCCACAATGTGGTCAAAATACTCTGGCTTTAGAAAGTCTTTGAGGTGAATCCCCATGGAGTTGTTGGTTCTGAGCTGTATCAGCAGCCTTGAAAGCTGTCGAATCCCTTGTGACACCAGGTGAAGGTTGTCTTGCCCATGTCTCTCTGCAATGATGCTACCATACTTGCAGATGAGATCATCATTTCTTGCAGCAATAATATTGTTACCTTATCTGATTTCATTTTTGCTAGGGCCACTTTTAGGCATTGACTTTGGGCTTGATGTTCTATCTTAGGATACAGCTTGGGACAGTTAAAACAGGAATCCTTTTTGTCATAAACCCAGTTTTTGTAGTTTTGTTTCCCTGTTATGTGTAGTATTGTTTTCTAATAATTAATGCTTTCTGTTCACCGAATGGCTTTCGAGAAATAACTTGTAATGTTAACCTCTTTTGCCAGGCATATTTTCTACTTGTTGTTTGATCACTGTTTGCCTTGGCGATCGTAGGTTTAACGTTGTAGAGTTAACCTCCTATGCCAGGCATAATAATGAATGTAGTGTAGTTGAAAAGTGACATGGATTTGTTTGTTGTAAGCTGCCAAATCCTTGGGACTATTAAGGTGGAGGTTTATTTTTACATTTTTTGTGGTATTAAATAAGTGCAGGCATCAATGCTAGCTGTGAATTCAGCATCTATTTGTGAGGGTTGTCTTTAAGTTGTGCAAAAAAAAATGTTTTGCTCCAGGAAAAAGTCTTACTATAACAGAACACTTAAAGAAATAATATATGCAAACTGGAGAAAACGTTTAGTCGGTGTGATGATTTTTCCTCAGCGAAATTAGTTTTTAAATCAGAAAAAAGGTTACTTATATAATTACTTAATATATGAGTAGTTCAACGCTGAAAATATCTTTTTGGGACTGGTAGATAAAGTGCCTTTCTTTTGTTATCTTTCCAATGTAGTCATCATACCTACAGAATTTATAATTATCGGATTTCATTTTTGCTAGGGCCACTTTTAGGCATTGACTTTGGGCTTGATGTCCTATCTTAGGATACAGCTTGGGACAGTTAAAACAGGAATCCTTTTTGTCATAAACCCAGTTTTTGTAGTTTTGTTTCCCTGTTATGTGTAGTATTGTTTTCTAATAATTAATGCTTTCTGTTCACGAATGGCTTTCGAGAAATAACTTGTAATGTTAACCTCTTTTTGCCAGGCATATTTTCTACTTGTTGTTTGATCACTGTTTGCCTTGGCGATCGTAGGTTTAACGTTGTAGAGTTAACCTCCCTATGCCAGGCATAATAATGAATGTAGTGTAGTTGAAAAGTGACATGGATTTGTTTGTTGTAAGCTGCCAAATCCCTTGGGACTATTAAGGTGGAGGTTTATTTTTACATTTTTGTGGTATTAAATAAGTGCAGGCATCAATGCTAGCTGTGAATTCAGCATCTATTTGTGAGGGTTGTCTTTAAGTTGTGCAAAAAAAAATGTTTTGCTCCAGGAAAAAGTCTTACTATAACAGAACACTTAAAGAAATAATATATGCAAACTGGAGAAAACGTTTAGTCGGTGTGATGATTTTTCCTCAGCGAAATTAGTTTTTAAATCAGAAAAAAGGTTACTTATATAATTACTTAATATATGAGTAGTTCAACGCTGAAAATATTTTTTTGGGACTGGTAGATAAAGTGCCTTTCTTTTGTTATCTTTCCAATGTAGTCATCATACCTAGAATTTATAATTATCGGATTTCATTTTTGCTAGGGCCACTTTTAGGCATTGAGTTTGGGCTTGATGTCCTATCTTAGGATACAGCTTGGGACAGTTAAAACAGGAATCCTTTTTGTCATAAACCCAGTTTTTGTAGTTTTGTTTCCCTGTTATGTGTAGTATTGTTTTCTAATAATTAATGCTTTCTGTTCACCGAATGGCTTTCGAGAAATAACTTGTAATGTTAACCTCTTTTGCCAGGCATATTTTCTACTTGTTGTTTGATCACTGTTTGCCTTGGCGATCGTAGGTTTAACATTGTAGAGTTAACCTCCTATGCCAGGCATAATAATGAATGTAGTGTAGTTGAAAAGTGACATGGATTTGTTTGTTGTAAGCTGCCAAATCCCTTGGGACTATTAAGGTGGAGGTTTATTTTTACATTTTTTGTGGTATTAAATAAGTGCAGGCATCAATGCTAGCTGTGAATTCAGCATCTATTTGTGAGGGTTGTCTTTAAGTTGTGCAAAAAAAAAATGTTTTGCTCAAGGAAAAAGTCTTACTATAACAGAACACTTAAAGAAATAATATATGCAAACTGGAGAAAACGTTTAGTCGGTGTGATGATTTTTCCTCAGCGAAATTAGTTTTTAAATCAGAAAAAAGGTTACTTATATAATTACTTAATATATGAGTAGTTCAACGCTGAAAATATTTTTTTGGGACTGGTAGATAAAGTGCCTTTCTTTTGTTATCTTTCCAATGTAGTCATCATACCTAGAGAATTTATAATTAGCTTTTGTCCTTAAACAGTGGCTTCAGAGTTTTCACCCCAATCCACTAATTCTCAAAATTTTGCATACTTTTGCCATCTCCAGGGTCATTTCATGGAGTTTACAAATTGTTCTCTGTGCACTAGCATAATATCATGTCTCATGTGTCTTACTAGCCAATTAATCTATAACTTGGGAAACTGTGGCAATAAACACACTGTACTTTCAAAATCAAAGCTGACAATCTTCAATTCCTTTTGTTGCTGTTTTCTTCCAGTCTGGCTTTTCTACAAATGAACTCAACAGCATCTTTGAAACTTCACCGCCTCGTTGTTTATTGAATGTTATCACCCGATAAAGGGTTGTTTCAGCTAACTCACTCCAATTCTGTATTGTTGGTGCAGCTTTTAAGGTCTCTGTACAAGTGACAATCTTTTGAAGGAGATGCTTTCTCAACACCTCCAAGTCTTCTGTAACTGGAAGCAGATCTGGCTTGTTAAATTTCCTCTTGTAGAGTGTTCCTAGTGAGTGATATGAAATGCTATCACTCCATTCAGATCCCATAAGCTTTTCGAGATTGTCCATGTCTTGTAGCGGCACCTGGTCTTTTTCTCTCAAAGCCTTACCTCTTTGGATGGTGATGCACTTATTTATGGCATGGCCTAACTTCAGTGCAAGGGATGGTATTCCGACTGACTTTGCTGATGATTCCTCAAAGTTGCAAAGGGTCTTAACTCAAGCCACAATGTGGTCAAAATACTCTGGCTTTAGAAAGTCTTTGAGGTGAATCCCCATGGAGTTGTTGGTTCTGAGCTGTATCAGCAGCCTTGAAAGCTGTCGAATCCCTTGTGACACCAGGTGAAGGTTGTCTTGCCCATGTCTCTCTGCAATGATGCTACCATACTTGCAGATGAGATCATCATTTCTTGCAGCAATAATATTGTTACCTTATCTGATTTCATTTTTGCTAGGGCCACTTTTAGGCATTGACTTTGGGCTTGATGTTCTATCTTAGGATACAGCTTGGGACAGTTAAAACAGGAATCCTTTTTGTCATAAACCCAGTTTTTGTAGTTTTGTTTCCCTGTTATGTGTAGTATTGTTTTCTAATAATTAATGCTTTCTGTTCACCGAATGGCTTTCGAGAAATAACTTGTAATGTTAACCTCTTTTGCCAGGCATATTTTCTACTTGTTGTTTGATCACTGTTTGCCTTGGCGATCGTAGGTTTAACGTTGTAGAGTTAACCTCCTATGCCAGGCATAATAATGAATGTAGTGTAGTTGAAAAGTGACATGGATTTGTTTGTTGTAAGCTGCCAAATCCCTTGGGACTATTAAGGTGGAGGTTTATTTTTACATTTTTTGTGGTATTAAATAAGTGCAGGCATCAATGCTAGCTGTGAATTCAGCATCTATTTGTGAGGGTTGTCTTTAAGTTGTGCAAAAAAAAATGTTTTGCTCCAGGAAAAAGTCTTACTATAACAGAACACTTAAAGAAATAATATATGCAAACTGGAGAAAACGTTTAGTCGATTGTGATGATTTTTCCTCAGCGAAATTAGTTTTTAAATCAGAAAAAAAAAGGTTACTTATATAATTACTTAATATATGAGTAGTTCAACGCTGAAAATATCTTTTTGGGACTGGTAGATAAAGTGCCTTTCTTTTGTTATCTTCCAATGTAGTCATCATACCTACAGAATTTATAATTATCGGATTTCATTTTTGCTAGGGCCACTTTTAGGCATTGACTTTGGGCTTGATGTCCTATCTTAGGATACAGCTTGGGACAGTTAAAACAGGAATCCTTTTTGTCATAAACCCAGTTTTTTGTAGTTTTGTTTCCCTGTTATGTGTAGTATTGTTTTCTAATAATTAATGCTTTCTGTTCACCGAATGGCTTTCGAGAAATAACTTGTAATGTTAACCTCTTTTGCCAGGCATATTTTCTACTTGTTGTTTGATCACTGTTTGCCTTGGCGATCGTAGGTTTAACATTGTAGAGTTAACCTCCTATGCCAGGCATAATAATGAATGTAGTGTAGTTGAAAAGTGACATGGATTTGTTTGTTGTAAGCTGCCAAATCCCTTGGGACTATTAAGGTGGAGGTTTATTTTTACATTTTTTGTGGTATTAAATAAGTGCAGGCATCAATGCTAGCTGTGAATTCAGCATCTATTTGTGAGGGTTGTCTTTAAGTTGTGCAAAAAAAAATGTTTTGCTCCAGGAAAAAGTCTTACTATAACAGAACACTTAAAGAAATAATATATGCAAACTGGAGAAAACGTTTAGTCGGTGTGATGATTTTTCCTCAGCGAAATTAGTTTTTAAATCAGAAAAAAGGTTACTTATATAATTACTTAATATATGAGTAGTTCAACGCTGAAAATATTTTTTTGGGACTGGTAGATAAAGTGCCTTAATTTCTTTTGTTATCTTTCCAATGTAGTCATCATACCTACAGAATTTATAATTATCGGATTTCATTTTTGCTAGGGCCACTTTTAGGCATTGACTTTGGGCTTGATGTCCTATCTTAGGATACAGCTTGGGACAGTTAAAACAGGAATCCTTTTTTTCATAAACCCAGTTTTTGTAGTTTTGTTTCCCTGTTATGTGTAGTATTGTTTTCTAATAATTAATGCTTTCTGTTCACCGAATGGCTTTCGAGAAATAACTTGTAATGTTAACCTCTTTTGCCAGGCATATTTTCTACTTGTTGTTTGATCACTGTTTGCCTTGGCGATCGTAGGTTTAACATTGTAGAGTTAACCTCCTATGCCAGGCATAATAATGAATGTAGTGTAGTTGAAAAGTGACATGGATTTGTTTGTTGTAAGCTGCCAAATCCCTTGAGACTATTAAGGTGGAGGTTTATTTTTACATTTTTTGTGGTATTAAATAAGTGCAGGCATCAATGCTAGCTGTGAATTCAGCATCTATTTGTGAGGGTTGTCTTTAAGTTGTGCAAAAAAAAAATGTTTTGCTCAAGGAAAAAGTCTTACTATAACAGAACACTTAAAGAAATAATATATGCAAACTGGAGAAAACGTTTAGTCGGTGTGATGATTTTTCCTCAGCGAAATTAGTTTTTAAATCAGAAAAAAGGTTACTTATATAATTACTTAATATATGAGTAGTTCAACGCTGAAAATATTTTTTGGGACTGGTAGATAAAGTGCCTTTCTTTTGTTATCTTTCCAATGTAGTCATCATACCTAGAGAATTTATAATTAGCTTTTGTCCTTAAACAGTGGCTTCAGAGTTCTCACCCCAATCCACTAATTCTCAAAATTTTGCATACTTTTGCCATCTCAGGGTCATTTCATGGGTTTACAAATTGTTCTCTGTGCACTAGCATAATATCATGTCTCATGTGTCTTACTAGCCAATTAATCTATAACTTGGGAAACTGTGGCAACAAACACACTGTACTTTCAAAATCAAAGCTGACAATCTTCAATTCCTTTTGTTGCTGTTTTCTTCCAGTCTGGCTTTTCTACAAATGAACTCAACAGCATCTTTGAAACTTCACCGCCTCGTTGTTTATTGAATGTTATCACCCGATAAAGGGTTGTTTCAGCTAACTCACTCCAATTCTGTATTGTTGGTGCAGCTTTTAAGGTCTCTGTACAAGTGACAATCTTTTGAAGGAGGCGCTTTCTCAACACCTCAAGTCTTCTGTAACTGGAAGCAGATCTGGCTTGTTAAATTTCCTCTTGTAGAGTGTTCCTAGTGAGTGATATGAAATGCTATCGCTCCATTCAGATCCCATAAGCTTTTCGAGATTGTCCATGTCTTGTAGCGGCACCTGGTCTTTTCTCTCAAAGCCTTACCTCTTTGGATGGTGATGCACTTATTTATGGCATGGCCTAACTTCAGTGCAAGGGATGGTATTCCGACTGACTTTGCTGATGATTCCTCAAAGTTGCAAAGGGTCTTAACTCAAGCCACAATGTGGTCAAAATACTCTGGCTTTAGAAAGTCTTTGAGGTGAATCCCCATGGAGTTGTTGGTTCTGAGCTGTATCAGCAGCCTTGAAAGCTGTCGAATCCTTGTGACACCAGGTGAAGGTTGTCTTGCCCATGTCTCTCTGCAATGATGCTACCATACTTGCAGATGAGATCATCATTTCTTGCAGCAATAATATTGTTACCTTATCTGATTTCATTTTTGCTAGGGCCACTTTTAGGCATTGACTTTGGGCTTGATGTTCTATCTTAGGATACAGCTTGGGACAGTTAAAACAGGAATCCTTTTTGTCATAAACCCAGTTTTTGTAGTTTTGTTTCCCTGTTGTGTGTGTATTGTTTTCTAATAATTAATGCTTTCTGTTCACCGAATGGCTTTAGAAATAACTTGTAATGTTAACCTCTTTTGCCAGGCATATTTTCTACTTGTTGTTTGATCACTGTTTGCCTTGGCGATCGTGGGCTTAACATTGTAGAGTTAACCTCCTATGCCAGGCATAATAATGAATGTAGTGTAGTTGAAAAGTGACATGGATTTGTTTGTTGTAAGCTGCCAAATCCCTTGGGACTATTAAGGTGGAGGTTTATTTTTACATTTTTTGTGGTATTAAATAAGTGCAGGCATCAATGCTAGCTGTGAATTCAGCATCTATTTGTGAGGGTTGTCTTTAAGTTGTGCAAAAAAAAAATGTTTTGCTCCAGGAAAAAGTCTTACTATAACAGAACACTTAAACAAATAATATATGCAAACTGGAGAAAACGTTTAGTCGGTGTGATGATTTTTCCTCAGCGAAATTAGTTTTTAAATCAGAAAAAAGGTTACTTATATAATTACTTAATATATGAGTAGTTCAACGGTGAAAATATTTTTTTGGGACTGGTAGATAAAGTGCCTTAATTTCTTTTGTTATCTTTCCAATGTAGTCATCATACCTACAGAATTTATAATTATCGGATTTCATTTTTGCTAGGGCCACTTTTAGGCATTGACTTTGGGCTTGATGTCCTATCTTAGGATACAGCTTGGGACAGTTAAAACAGGAATCCTTTTTGTCATAAACCCAGTTTTTGTAGTTTTGTTTCCCTGTTATGTGTAGTATTGTTTTCTAATAATTAATGCTTTCTGTTCACCGAATGGCTTTCGAGAAATAACTTGTAATGTTAACCTCTTTTGCCAGGCATATTTTCTACTTGTTGTTTGATCACTGTTTGCCTTGGCGATCGTAGGTTTAACATTGTAGAGTTAACCTCCTATGCCAGGCATAATAATGAATGTAGTGTAGTTGAAAAGTGACATGGATTTGTTTGTTGTAAGCTGCCAAATCCCTTGGGACTATTAAGGTGGAGGTTTATTTTTACATTTTTTGTGGTATTAAATAAGTGCAGGCATCAATGCTAGCTGTGAATTCAGCATCTATTTGTGAGGGTTGTCTTTAAGTTGTGCAAAAAAAAATGTTTTGCTCCAGGAAAAAGTCTTACTATAACAGAACACTTAAAGAAATAATATATGCAAACTGGAGAAAACGTTTAGTCGGTGTGATGATTTTTCCTCAGCGAAATTAGTTTTTAAATCAGAAAAAAGGTTACTTATATAATTACTTAATATATGAG